TATATAAATTTTGAACATAATCAGTCAAAGCATGGCAGAGATATGGCACTGGAACTGCATTCATTAAAACAAAATGGCCACCAGTAGGCCACTTTAAATCAGATGTGCATCAAGGTTCCATAATGTCTAATGTATGAACAAAATCCATCCATAAATGCTTGATTTTGATAATTTTTTTAGCATAAAAATAGCCACCATTCGGCCATCTTGAATCAGATCATGAAACACAATGTGCAAATGTATAATATTATGTATGATGTATGTATGAAGTTTGAAAGTGATTGGTCCAGGCATGTCTAAGATACAGGATCCTGACTCGTACATTGATACACAATGGTCAATCCATAAGTCCCCGTTTTCGGATTGCCTCCAAACTGAGACTAAAAACACACTCTGGTACAGAGCAATTCATCAAGAATGACCATCAACTACCATCAGAATAGATATTACCTGTAATCCCAGAGAGCATGCACAATGAACTAGTATTTTGAGATTGATGGGAAACATGTACAATGTACAGGAAGAATTACATACACATTGAGCTAAATGTAAAGAGGAGTGAAAAGTGTATTACCATCAGTTCTTCTTGCTCTTTATTGTCAATGTTCTGTGAAATAGACATGAACATATCCTTTATGTCAGAGGTCAAATTAGTCAACACACTGGGCTGGTGCATACCAACAGCTGCTAGTGACTGGCATAACAAGATGGCTGCCAATCCTGGTGAAGAAGAAAAAGAGTTACATCAAAAACAATACAATAAATGTAGTCAACTCATTACTTGGATTCCAGTGTATAAAACATTAGCAGAAAGGATGTATGTGTTAACGTATGGTTACATATTGTGAATTCATCCAATCTGACACCAAGAAGGTTATATACATACCCGTAGTTGTTGTGAGAGTTGTTGTTATGCCTTCAACTAAATCACTTGCCACTGATGGACATGCTTTGCATAAAACACTGACACAACAAAGTACAGTCTGTGGAAAATAAACAGAAATCAATCCCATCATCTCTGATGTGCTGAATAAACTGAGCATGAAAACTAATACAAAGACTATATTCATGTTTCCACACAACAATACAATTGACTAAGGTCAGTATAACCTGAGCAGAGCAATGCACACATAGAATATGGTTACTTTATAAATTGGGAAAAAGATATTACTAATAACAATATCATGCTGGCAACTAAACTCAAATGAAATATCGTCAAAATGACAACCAACACTCGTAACACTCACTTTCAAAGCTGAAGATACCTTCTTGCTTCCAGAGCAAGCACATCCAATGATTAAAGCTTCCATTGCCATGGCAACTTCCTCACTTGATTTGGTTACATCTTTGCCAAGAGATATTTTTGATATGACGATATTTGTCATGACATCTACAGCAAAAGCTGATACAGTGGCATTACTATGGTAACTAAAATTGGTACACAGCTCAGTCACAAGAGAACCTAAAGCAAAATACAACACCACTTATTAATCACAACAATCTCTACCGGTGCTCCATGTATTTACTATGAGAGAAATGTGTCACTATCTATATAAGTCTTGAAGGCATTCTTGCAAATTAACAGAGATGAGTTTACTATGAAAGGAAACCGACATTACCTGCTTGTAGATTCAATGTTGCAAACGCCACTGATTTGGAAAGAGTGCTGAGTACACTAAAACCACCAATTTTCAAGCCATCATAGGGAGTGGTTGATGTGAACTGACAAAGTAATTCTATATTCTCTGATGTCCACATGTGAGGTGCTTCTTTGGCTAACATTCTTAAATCCTGCAGTGCTAACGTCTTAATTACTCTGCGTGGATCAGTATCCAGGTAGCATAGCAACAGTGAAACCTGAAAGTACAAGTAATACAATAAGAAGAACATATAACTACATTGCTGATTCAGAATTGTATACCTTCAAAAACACAGAACACTACCTCTAAATCTGGGGTGGATGATAAACATAATGAGGTTATTACGACAATACCTCAAGGTATGCACGAAGACAGTACAGCAAAATTACGGCATGCTGTAACTTATGGCGTTACAGTGACAGGTGTATAATAATGGATAACATCACTACACAGAATTTCTTTATTATTCATAATGATGCAGTGTCTACCTGTGCTGGGATATCCATTAGAGATGCTGCGGCTAGCTTAGACAAGGAATGTAATGTTGTAATAACAAATGCTTTGCCTGGATAAGAGGGCAACATTCTGATGCACAAATGACGGACTTTTGCAGCAGATTCAGCATCATGGTGCATGTGTTCAAATATCAGAATAAGCTTCAATTTCATCTCTACTGGAGTAGCAAGACCTGAAAAATTAAACTATACATGTTGTTGTAGCCTTGATTGATATCCAGAACACATCCAAGTTAAAACTCATTTTTGAGAATCCCTGTCATTATATCAACTGAACTACTGCATAAATGGCTACCAACATGAATAGAAAGCAATTTAATCTCATGCATTAAAACACATCATACCTTGTATCATATCAGCTACTTTATTACATATACCAACTGCAAAGTCCCTGCAAATGAACATGACATGTCATCAATAGTAATATACAACCAGTCTGCACACCAATCCAAATATAGTATTTGCTCTATTGGTAGCGCATAAGCTTGCATAAATGAAAGCGATATATCTATGATCAAAATAAACCATATTTTAACATTCCAATATAAAGATCAGAAAGAAATTGGCAAGCTCAACAGGGTTCTCCACGAGAGGTTTAAACAGGGCACCGCGCCCTGTTATCTGAAATTGGCACCCTGTTTAAATTGTCAGTGCCCTGTTATATTTCCTGTGCACCCTGCATGGTCCCAGACAAAGAATTGTTTACAAAACAGGCCAACACTCATTGTCTTTCGAAATGATTCATCGCGCTCAGGGTGACTGATTCATTGTTTTAAGGTGCAACTGTGAAAATTCCGGCTTGTTATCGTACATGTAGCAGGTCACCGTGAGGTGATAACACCACCCATGGACATACTAGTACGTCCATGCACCACCGAACAAAAAGTTAAAAGTTTTTTCAACACAATTAAAAATGAACATGTGGCCATTACCGTACCCATATTTTTACTGCCAGGGTGACATCAAATATATAAAATAGTTATCGGTGAAACCATTCGTTAAAACATAAGGGTCTATGGTTAAAACCAAGTTCACGCCGTGACTTGTAGCGGCAACATCGTCACCGCCGAGTGGAACAAAGGCAGCTATGCACTTGCATGATCAGTAAACAACCAGCGCAGCCGACGTACCATCACATACATTGCTGATCACCAAGAAGTCCACACAAATGCTTGCTTGAACATGTAAATGTTTATATTTAAATGTCACTATTTAAAGTTGAATTTTTTTTAAATCACGATTTAAAAACCCCGGTAAAACGGCCATGCTTTTAACTCGCATCATAAGTGGAGGAAATAAATTTACTTGTGTTCTTCTTGGAACAAATATTCTGATTGTGTTTTTCGCGTCATGCGTGGCTCAAAAGCATCGTTACATAGTATCAGGGTGCACACAGTAAAATGAACTGTTTCCGGGTCATAGCTGTTTTTCAATGTCGCAGACATAAACAAACTTTCGATTCAAATGAAAATTATTCTTTTAAGTATGTATTTTGTTTTTATTACCTAATTCTATTATTTTTGATAGTAACTGTTAACTGCAGATCGAAAATCTTCTATTGTGTACATTTTATTTTGTTTGATCATCTTACTTTTTGGTGCCATTCATGCAAGTTTTTTAATGAACCAATTACGAACGTTTGTGCGACATCATACATTTTATTTTGCTTCGTCCAAATAAATATAAATCATAAATATAAATTTTTACTAAAAATTAAATAAAGCATGTATGTATCTATTTGGGAAAATAAATTAACAAACTTGTTACGTCTTTTTCTGGACGCGATCATTACTGGTCATGCAGCTAAAATCAGCTGATTGTACGTGCTGACGTTTACTCAATAATAGCTCTTCAAAATTCTCATTCATTTTGTAATAATAAATATATATTATGCATATGTAATAATATGTAGATTAATAGATTTTTTGGTTTCCATTTTTCAACATTCATGCAAATGATGCATGTTACAAATGTGCCACGCCCACTTCACATTGGCGTGCCCTGTTTAATTTTCAAACCGTGGAGAACCCTGCTCAATGAAGCTACATAACTGATTGCACAAATTAAAGACATACAAAACACAAATCTATATCTGTGACTGTTTCACACAAACCTTGATTCAGCGGCAAATCTAGTTGCAGCAAAAATAGCCGCTTCTAATTCCACAGCATCATGAGAGTCGAGACTGTTGCGTATACTGTAATGTACATTCTTTCTTTCCTGTATTATAACAGCAACACTGCCAAGTACTCTAGAGGTATAGACATGGATTATATATTAACAAGTCTGGTTATGGACTGAAACCAGCAGGTTTTATCTCAAACTTCATAGTACTATTGACCAGCTTTTACTGCTGTACTAAAATAACTAATGTTAATTACAGAAATGATTAGCTAAGTCCCCCCCCCAAAAAAATGGGTGATAAATGTATATAATCAAATAACACTATGTTGCTGATTAATTTTCCCAATCATGTAACAGTGTGAATGTGAAAAAGGCTTTTCGTGCATTGGAGAAAAATCATCTTGGCAGAAAAAATCTGTATGTTTCAACAAGCAGGAATGAGCTGGCAGATGGTCAGAGTTCACCCAGATGATCAGAGCTCATACTAAAAGTTGGGGAGATGTAGAACCTGTATGTAATCCTTGTTCTGGACTGGGCCAAACATAATAATACAGGTATTAAAGTGAGGTGTGTAAATTTATTTTTGCTGCTAGTAATCAGTTGGTTTAGTAGATGCCATAAATGGCTAAGTGACAGCAATCATGATTAAGACTGTCCTGTGTGAAAGCACTCACTGAGTGGCATTCTAATAAGAATATGCATGCCTATGTTATATGAATACTTGTATGACACCACTGTAAGAGTAATATCTTTAGCTAGAGAGTCATTCAACTTACCTGAGAGTAATAGCTCTGGCTACAGGATCATTACTGTGAATGACAGTAAATATCCTTCTCAGGAATTCATCTTTGTTGAGAATTTTATCCAATTGTTTCTGACTTTGTTGCACAACCTTCAGTACGCAAAGACGAAGAAAGTTACTCCTAATATGAAAAAGAACATTTTACATTGAAAATATAGCAGTTATGGATTAAGTGAATGAACTCATATATATACAAATGAAAATTTTGTGATATTTTAGTTTATCTTTTTAATTTCAATGTTGATTTTAGACTAACAAGAAAAAAAAATGTTGATCAATAATTCATTTCTCCCAAAAAATTAACTAGACCTAACAACTAACTAATTTGTTTTTCAATTCTGATAGTTGTGATTTATAAGAAAAATAATGAATCTCTTCATTCAATATGGCACTACCAATACCTACCCTTGCATGAAAAACAGAGTAAAAATTCCTACTCTCCTATGAAAAACAGCGAGTACCAATAACTACCCTAGTTCGAAAAATAGTAAGTGCCAATACCTACCTTTGTGTGAAAAACAGTGATTAATTCCCTCCCTACTCTGAAAAAACAGTGAATACCAATACCTACCCTAGTCTGAAAACTTCAGATAACTTGAGAAATGCAGAGTTGATTAATATTGGGAAAGGATATTTTTCAAACAACCTGGGAAACCTGACAATTGCTTCACACTGCTCACCAAGTTTTGTTGATCGTAGACCTTGAAAGATAAAAAGAAATACCTTTACAGATCAGTTTGAGATTACTTCTCACCTTCTTACAGTGCTCGTAATCTTGTTTTTGCATTTCCCACAGAAATGTCATCACTCTCACAGACAGTTTTATAACAGTATATATAGTATTTAATAGTAGTATCAAATTTTCTTTTTAATGTAACAACTAATTAAATGTGGTAGGCAATGCTTGGCTATATTTCCACAAATCAAATAATCAAATCAAATAATTTTGATACGAGGAAGGTGTGATTCAGTTAGTTCATATACATATTTTTATATACCGTACTTCCCCGAGCATAGGCACCTCCCCGAGTATAAGCCCACCCTCTGTTTTTAGACATTTAACAGGTTGAAGGCATTCCCGAGTATTAGGCATAGGGTGTTTTTACTGGCTGTCAACGACATTTATTGCATGGCCGGCAAACGTACGGAACATGGTTCGCACATTTTCTATTCTGTTATTTACTCAGGATGAACCCCGATGTTGCAATACTGAAGTAATCCATATTTCTTTTGAGTAGTAGTTTTAGAAACGCCAAAAATGTGATTGTCAAGTCATGAAACCAGGGCATTGAACATCGTTTTACTTTTCCGAATAAATCGTGTCCATTGAGACTTTCGTGAATGGGCTGTGAACGAGCAAACTATTCTTCGACATGACTTGAAAAGTTTAAATACTTTCTCCACCCTCAGTTTAACTTTCGAAAATTGCGAATCAACAGCTTTAGGGAAAAAAATCACCGCATTTTAACATCGCTGTAATTCACTTCCGCATTGCATTGATAAAATGACTTTGTCAATAATCGGAAAACTTCGTCTGTACAACACAGCATTTTGATTGGTTATCGAAAGACGTAACCTGTTAGGTCAAAGGAAGTTGTTCAGGTCAAATTATGATGAAAAACACCATGGAGGCTTTGTATCAAGAGTTTGCTTACGATCGAAAACATTCCACAACGAAGATAATGATAAAGATCTTGTTTTTGAATGTTTTCCCACAGACCCTACGCATTTTTGCACCGTAAATTCAGACGGTATGTAAACCGTATTGTAATAAAATGTGTGTATTTTTATGAACATGTTTTTTTCTTCATTGTAAAAAGTGTTGTGGAAATCAAAAAGACATATTTCTCCAAGACCGGTGCTGTGAACGAAAAATGTAGTTTGGACAATTTTTCGTGGTTGGGAAGATGGTTACAATTTTAAACCCCCCAAAAAATTATCTTTTCTGAGGTGGTCGTCGAGTATAAGCCCACCCCCTAATTTCCTCGATTTTACATGTTCAGGCCCCTGGGCTTATACTTGGGGAAGTACGGTAGCCACCATATTGATTTTTACTCTACTCATGAATGACATATTTTGTAGGTCCCTCACATGACTGACTGTGTGGAACTCAGAAAAGGTTAATTGTCACATGTAATTTGTAACCACCACGTATCACCCAACCGAAAGTTTGCGATATTAACAACTACATCTATCTTACTATTTTAACATACTTTTTCAACAATATTCTAGTTTTTTTTATGTGATTGACAGTGCAATTATGTGGATACTATAAAATCATTTATTATTACCATTATGATATTTTGAGAATATTCACTGTCTTTTAAGTTGCCAGTGAAACAATAAGTTCTATTGTTACTTCTCTTGCTCATGTGATTTAATTTAGCGGATTTTACTTATCAGTGACAATGACATATGATCAGCGTCTCCATGGACGAGTATCACTTTGTGGACAGTAGCACTATATATTACATATAAACCCTATCCCCACTGGATGGAATGGTGATATATTAGCTACAATGCATTATACCTTTGTCAAGCTCCATAAGAGCAGTGTTGGCGTCTTGCTCTGGCTCGCCGTAGCTACTTTCCATTCCCATCATCGTCAATCTCGCCGACACGGTCGCCATTTTCAACAAACTTTAAGAATGAGTGAATGCGTAAATTTGTAAATCGTCGTTCGAACAAACATTTTTTATTTCTGTTAAAGATTGTCGCAATAAATAAAACATTAAACAATAAAATACGCTATCCGAAGTAAATTAATGAATAAAACTGCTAAAATATCAAACAAAAGTAATCTCATTGTTTCATGAAAAAGAAATCCCCAATTGTATTCACGTACTATCAGTTATAAAAGCATTTTCTGTTTCAAGCGGAAGAAATTTGCATTAACCAATCAAAACTCGTGACGTCATTTTCGCGGGAAGTTTACTCCCGCGGTAAATCCACTCAATGAATATTTGCTGGATGCCATGTACTGGTGATCGAACGAGTGGACTTCTATATTTTTGCCGTGTTTTTAATGTCGATAGGGGGTGGATTTGACTTCAGTTCACGTCGATTTACATTTTCCAGCAGCATGAGTGTTTTGAAGTCTCTTCTCATCGGGACCTGGTCGGTCGCTGGAGTAAACAAAAAGGTGAGGCAATGATCAGTCGTTCTAATTACTGGTAATTGAATATATGCGATCGGCGGAGGAAACAGTCACCGGAGACCACAAAATCACAATATATTAATCTTTACTATTTATATAAATCATTTTCAGACTTTCATGAGACTAGTAGAATTGACAAATCTGGAAAAAATGACAATAAATGGCACTGATCGATTTTCAGCCCTGAAGTGACTGGTCTAAACCTATATTCGATAAGCAGATCATTTGCTGAGATTCTTTTTGCATGTCAGCAATTGTTCCACCATTGGTTCTGTAAACTATCATGATATGCGACTTAGTTTTTATGATATTGAGAAGTTCTTTAAGGCCCAACCCCACATATTTTGTTCGATGGCGCGTGATCATTTTGAGTTCATTATAGTTATCTAGAGGGGCATAACCAATTAAATGCCCTATGGGGGGGCATTTAATTTTTGTATTAGCATTATTATTCAAATTTAATTTTACTTTCAACAACAAATAATGAAAATATTTTTTTTCAACAGTTGATTTTAGTACATTTATTGAAGATTTTCACTGCCATCAAGATGATTGCCATTCTATTCAGAGTGTTATTAATGAATTCGCTGTACCCCCTATTTCATGTGGATTTTGTAAAATGCCTGGTTATGAGCACATCTTAGCTGTAGCAGATGAAGATGGTAGTCTAAGAATAATGAACACCAATGTATC